CCCACTAAACGTGCTCCGTATCACCCTCTGCTACCCCGCCGCCCCCACACGAACCGTCCGGGCCAAGTCGCTGCGTATGGATTTCTGCTCCATCAACTGTAGCCGAATGTCAATGTCAAACTTGCGGCAGTACTGAATGTACTCATGGCTGCCCAGGGCCTGCTTGCTGGTGGAACAGAGGGACAGACCATTAGCATCCCGGGAACTCAGTGGGGAAGGTGATGTAGACCTGAGCCCCGGGGAGAGAGAAACAGGAGGGCGGGAGGCGAACCAGTGGTAGTACTTGTGCTGTGCCTCCTACAGTGGCTCCTGACAATGTCACGGCAGAGGTTGGGGAACAAGCAGAGGTCTGTCTAAACGGAAAGCCACCTACTACTCTGGACCCTTAGTCTGTACAAACACTGGCTTTCCCAGGTACTTATTGCCTGTATTGTTATCAGGGGATGCTTCCAGGTCGGAACTTCTGGTGCGGGGAGAACCGAGGGACCTCTCAGAGGACAGTGTTAAATCCCACACTCCTAGCTTCGGTATACGGGACAGGTTGGAAGTCAGCCAGTGCTCAGACTTGGGTGTGGAGCTCACTGAGTGACACTGTCCCCCTACTGAGGTCCTAGGTCTCACACACCCTACTGTTACAGTTGGGGTGCTGAGGTCAACCAAGCAAACCTAGCAGGATTCCAGGTCTATATGAACCAGGAGGTCACAGTTTGATTCCCCGTCAGGGCACATGCCCAGGTTGCGGGCTTGATCCCGCGTGGGGGGCATGCTGGAGGCAGCCAATGATTCTTTCTCATCATTGATGTTTCTCTCTCTCTCTCCCTCTCCCTTCCTTGCTGAAATAAATACAAATATATACTAGAGGCATGATGCACGAAATTCATGCAAGAGTAGGCCTTCCTTCCCTCGGCTGCTGGCACCGGCTTCCCTCTGGCACCCGGGACCCGGGCTTCCCTTGCAACCCCGGCTTCGTCCAGAAGGATGTCCAGGAGGATGTCGGTCTAATTAGCATATTATGCTATTATTATTATTATTATTATTATTATTATTGTGAGAGAGAGTGTGTGTGTGTGTTGGGGGGATTCCAGGACTATCATCCCAGTGCTCATCCAAGGCTTGCTGCTGCCCTGACCCGGTAGCTCAGGTAGCTCAGTTGGTTAGCGTGTCCCATAGGCCAAGGTTGTGAGTTTGATCCCAGGTCAGGGCACATATAAGCAGCAGCCAATGAATGCATAAGTAAGTGGAACAACAAATCAATGTTTCTCGCTTTCTCTCTCAAATCAGTAAATAAAAGTCTGTTCTCCCCTTCCACTGTGGCTCCTGCCTGCATGCCATTCCCCCTGCTCAAGTGACAACCCATGAGACCCCACCCCCGTCCCGTCTCAGAGAAGGAGGCCCCTTCCTCCCACCCAAATCACACCTCAGTCAAAAGGAAACCCAGAAGCGAGGCCAGGGCGGCCCACTACAGGAGCACCGCAGCCCGGGCCGGGCCCCAGCCGCCGAGGAACAGAAGCCGGAAACGGACTTCCTTCCTCAGCAGAGCTGGCGTCTAGGCCCGCAATGGAGGGGAGAGGACAGGGGTGAAGGGGAGGGGTGTGTGCAGAGCCCAGAGTACCCCGGCCGGAGGCCACCCGGTGCAGTGAGGGCTTAAGGGGGTTCTCCACGCCCTGAGGGGCCAAGCCCCTGGTGTAGGCCCTTAGCTGCTAAGTCTGAGCTGCTGCGAAGTCTGAGCTGCAGCCAGAAGCTAGGACTGGACCCTGGGCAGGTCTGGAGGGAGTGCCTGGAAGGAAGAGTGTGGTGTGGTGGGGGAGGAGGCAGGAAACCCAGCCCTCCCCAGGGACTGTCTCAGGGCTCTTATCTAAGAGCAGCCTGCATCCTGGACACGCCAGTTCCCCCTGGCAGCAGCCCCCTCCCACTAGGAACAGTGGGAAACCACAGGGCCTCCTTGGGAGTGGCAGCTGCTGGAACCCCAAGAGGGAACTTCCCACCCCACCCAAGGCAGCTGTCCTTGCTCAGGGGTCTGGACTTGCTGTTGGTGGGAGGGAAGAGACAGGCTGGACGGAGGAGGGGGACTCCTGGATATTTTTCCATTGATTTTTAGAGAGAGTGGAAGGGACTGGGAGAGACAGGGAGAAACATCGATGTGAGAGAGACACATCAGTTGGTTGTCTTCTGCAACCGAGGTACATGCCTTTGTCCAGACTCGAACCTGGGACCCTTTCGGAACCTGGGACCCTTTGGTCCACACAGGCTGATGCTCTATCCTCTGAGCCAAATGGGGGAGGGCCAATCCTCACTTCATTTTAGTGAAGAAACTGAGGGTCAGGGTTTTACAACTAGTAAGTGCAAGTCAAGACCCAAACCAATCATACTGACAAGACCTACTCTGCCCTGTTCCCTCAGCGGTTCTCAACCTGTGGGACGCGACCCCTGTGGCGGTCAAACGACCCTTTCACCGGGGTCGCCTAAGACCATCCTGCATATCAGATATTTACATGACGATTCATAGCAGTATCAACATTACAGTGATGAAGTAGCAACGAAAATAATTTTATGGTCGGGTCACAACATGAGGAACTGTATTTAAAGGGCCAGACGGTTGAGAACCACCACCTTAGATGGTGGCAGGCTGCTTAGGGCGCTCTCTACCGGGAAACCCCGAGTCTAGGACCCCTCTCATTCCTCCAGGGGAAATCAAGGACACAGGGAAACATCCAGCGTTCCCTGGAGTCTGCTGCCTGGGGTCCTACCCCTTTCCTTTCCCAGTTGAGGGCACAGAGGCCAGAAAGGGCCCACAGTGTCTCTCAGGTTAAAGAAAGCAGCTGAGAACTGCTCTAGCCATAGACCCCTTGCACCCACACCTGGATAAAAGCGAGCAATGGCACGTGTAGGCTCTCCTAAGACCTACAGTAGAGACCCCTCCTATACCCACTCCCAAGGCCTTTCATGGGCATGAGGCAGCTGGGAGCTAGTGGGGGACAGCAGATCTATTTCCTGATGGGCTGCCATCTGCCTGACCCCAGGCCTGCCACCCAGCTGTACCACCAAGGGGTGCAATCCAGAATCCAGAGCTCGGGCAGTGGGCAGGGGAATTGCTGCTGCTGGCCCACATCCAACTGCCCAGGGAGGCTGCTTGCAGCCAAGGGAGGGCATTGATGGCGAGAGGCTGGCCGACAGCCTCTGGTGCCAGGGCTACCCACAACACATGCCACGGGGAAGGCTTGCGGGCAGGGGAAGGGGGAAGACAGTAACTGTGATTTCCCCCCTAGGTTCCCCTGGGCACTTCTGCCCAGTCCTCTGCCCCTCGCTCTAAGGGCACCTCCCATAATCTAGGGCAGGAGGGAACCCCACACAGCCCCTCCGGCGCCCCTCCCGCCTCCTCCACATGCAGAAGTCTGAGCAGTATGACCTAGACTTTGCCGAATCCCCGCTCCAAGCTCTTCCCACAGATTTGGCTCAGGAAGCCGCCAACCCCGCTGGAAGAGGGAGCTCCCGGGAAAGTACGACGTGGCCGTGCCGAGAATGTGCCTGGAGAACGGAGTCCTGCCTGTGGGGCTGCGGGCAGCTGCCAGCCCCGGGCCTGGGGCCCAGCACCTCCCAGAGGAAGCCCTCCCCCACCCCCCGACAATCCTAGGCCCACAGGCAGGTGCCGCATCCCCTGCTGCTCCCCCCCCCACACTCACTTCTGCAAGAACTCCTCCAGCCCACAGGGCTTCAGCACAAAGTCACCCACATTCACGCCCCGCAGTTCGTCACGGGTGTAGCACAGGGTCTGGTAGATGAGCAAGTCCACAGTGGAGGAACCTGTGAGGGGTGGGGCAGAGCAGCGATGATGGGGTGCTGGGGCAGGTGGGGCTCAGCACCCACCCTGATCCCCCATTCCCGGCAAAGCATGACCCAGCACCATCACCGACCAGAGAGAGAGCAGTTTGGGGCTGGAGGAAGTGGCCTTGGACCTAAAAAGCTGGCCCCAGAGCCAGCCCCCCAAAGCAGCTCTGGGCCCCACCGTGGGGTGGGAACTGAGGCCCAAGGATCCCGCCCCACCTCCAGGGAGGCCCCCTCTCCTCCCCTCAGACTTACAGTTGCAGGTAAAGGTGAGTGGCTCCTGCAGGCTGTCACACAACACCGTCACCTTCAGGTTGACCTCATCCCCAAGGTGCTCGGGGCTCGGGCTAACAGCGCTCCAGACGTACCCGGTGAGGAAGTAGTCCTGGACGTCGGAGCCCGATCGGAGGCTGTGCAGGGAGAGAGGGAGAAGGACCCTCGCTCTGCCTTCAGAAGAGAGGAGGCCTGCTGGGACCCTCCCGCCCTGAGGCCAGGCCCCTCTGTCCCAGTCAGCCTAGCCCTCCAGGTCTGCGGCCCAGGAAGAAAGGGGGGGCATGAAGGGGGGCCGCTCTAAGGTGACATGCTCATGCTAAGTGCCACCAAACCACTTCATCTTTTAGTTCTAGAAAACCCTCTTATCTCCATCCGGGGCCCTTGCTCCTACAGCCTGAAGCGATTGGGGTAATTTGACTGTCCAATGAAGGGTTTGTAAAGTTTGGTCAAACCTGTGAACCTTCTAAGGTGCCTCAATTTCAAAGAGCCCACACACGCCTTTGCTGGGAAGCATTCCATCGCTTCGAATTGAGATTTATTCATGTGTTTCTTCTTTCCTCCTAGAAAAAGGTGAGCTCCTCCCCAGCCCCCACAACCCTCCACAGCCCCTGTTCTTTAGCTCTTACACATCCAGCATGTGGCAAAACGCAGCAACTTCCTCATCTCTCTCCTCTGACACCTCAAACAACTCATGGCCATTGGCGACGGCGTGGGGCCGGGAGACCACCTTCAAGAGAAGAGCAGCGACTCAGTGCCTTTTCCCTCAAGGCACCCCCTTCCCGCTGCTCCCAGACCTAACCAACTCAACTCTGAAGACTTCCCAGGCACTCAATACTCAGTGAAAGGGGCATGAGAAAACATGGGAAACGCTGGGGCATAGGGATCTGCCATCCTAGGAGACCAAGAGCCACGTTGAAGAAGAGAACTTGGCCTACCTGGTGTGGCTCGGTCAATGGGCATCGACCTGTGAGCCAGGAGGTCACGGTTCAATTCATAGTCAAGGCACATGCCCAGGTTGTGGGCTCCATCCCTAGTGGGTGGCGTGCAGGAGGCAGCTGATCAGTGATTCTCTCTCATCACTGATGTTTCTTTTTTTTAAAAAAAAATATTCTATTGATTTTTTTACAGAGAGGAAGGGAGAGGGATAGAGAGTTAGAAACACCGATGAGAGATACACCCCCTACTGGGGATGCACCTGCAACCAAGGTACATGCCCTTGACCGGAATCGAACCTGGGACCCTTGAGTCTGCAGGCCGATGCTCTATCCACTAGGCCAAACCGGTCAGGGCTCATCACTGATGTTTCTATCTCTCTCTCCCCGTTCCTTGCTCTCTGAGATCAATAAAGATATATTTTTTTAAAAAAAACAACCATCAATGACTCTCTCTCATCACTGATGTTTCTCTCTCTCTCCCTCTCCCGTTCTCTCTGAAATCAATAAAAATATATTTTTGAAAAAGAGAGAGAGAGCTTGAAGCTTTGACTAAGGCCGGAAGCCTGGGCATGAGGGAGGCCCGATCTCTTTCCCACGAGGGCGGGTCCTGATCACCTCTATGCAGCAGGCTGGGCCGGGACAGTAGGCTGCCCAAACAGTCCTCGGGGGAGCTGGGCCCTGGGCCAAAGCCTCCACACCCACAGCAAGTCCCAGGGACCCAAAGTAGAGAGAGACCGAGAGTCCTGAGCTGGGGACCAGGACAGACACACGTGGCTTCTGGGTCAGCACTTGGAGGAAGAAAGACTCAGAGCAGCTTTCTGGTTGGGAGAGGGCCTGGGAGAAGGTTGAGCTCCTCCCGGCTCCCGAGCCTTCTGGTTCTGATTAGCTGCAACGTCAGGGAACCTGCCTGAGCCCTGCTTCCTGTCCAAGGGTGTGTGTGGTGGTGGGAATTTTCTCCGACAAGGCCTCACACCGACCCCTGTAGTCACAGCACTGCTTTTGCTCACCCACAAGGAGGCCCTCCCCGCACCCACCCCCCTGCCCGCCCCCGTGGGCCTGCCGCCCAGCCCGGAGCAGGAGGAAGTAGAGGAGCTGGTGCGTGACGGGTTTCTGCCTGACAGGCCTGCCCACAGCCCCCGGCGAGGCCACCCCAAGGGAACGAAGCTGCAGCTGGGATGCAGCGCCCGCAGTCGGTGCCAACACCTGCTTCCGGGAAGCCCACAGCCTGGGCTGCACACACAGCAATGCCTCGCCTCTCACCCTCCTTCCGGCCCTGCTCATGTTCTCCAGCCCCTCGGGCAGACGGCAGCACTGACCCCTCATTGGAATATCCAGAGTTTCCTCTGAGTGACCCTCTCCTGTCAGCCCTGCTCCCCTGGGTGAGCAGGGGGGTTGCAGGGTGGGGAGGGCAGCAGTGGGGGCAGCTGGCATGTGAGGCCCTGGCTCTGCCAAGTTCATGCCTGTGTCCCAGTCAAAACAATAGCACCACTGTCAGCAATGAACCCACAAAAGCAAGGGCGAGAAAGCGACAGAGCAACAGAACGAGACAGAGAAACAGCAACAGAGAGACGGAGAAATAGAGAGAGAGAGAGAGAGGAGGGGGCGGAGA